TTCAATTATATGATTGTTCTTTAAGTTGGTTATAGAATCCTCTTGAACACAACTTTTAATATACAAATTTCTATAATGCTCTTTAAGAGTCACATAGCTCTTTTCTGACTCAACAAGCTTCTCTCTCAACTCTTGTACAATATCTGCCATTTTTAAAAAAATTGATCAGTTAAGGATCTATGCAGTGAAATCAGATAAAAAAAATACGAACAGTTAAGCTCAAAAAGAAACCGAAAAAATACAAACACTGAAAAACACAATATACAATGATCCAAAAAAAAATCTAAACACAAATGAAAAAAGAAACTAAAAACAGTCCAAAAAAAATATCCAAGTCCAAAAATATGAGTCTAAGTCCAAATCACACCGATCCAAGTCAAGTCCAAAACAAGCTAATTCAAGTCAAACAATACAGATATGAAACTTTTAAAAACAATATTCTATCTGCTCTCTGAAGTGTATTCAAAAATCCACTTGAATTCGTCTTGGAAGGATCCACTTCGCACAGTTCTTAATTGGGCAACACCTTTGTATCAGTCACTTTTGATCTGAAAGACCTGTTCAGATGGCTTCTGGTCCAGTACTCAAATCCACAAACAGACAGACCTGCTATTCAAACAACTGTGAATACAGTTTAAACCAAAACAGTTAAAATTGAATTAAGTTGCTGTGTGTCACAAAGAACCTGTTAACTGTTAAACCTCAACAAACAGCTTCTATACAGCACACAAAATAGAATCTATGTAGAACAAACTCAAGAGCAACTTAACAGCAGCCAAAACAGTCCTAGAAAGATAAACTGTTTTAAAAAATATGGATGTTGTTGCTGTTTTAAACTGTTTTAAGACTATCAAAAACCTGTCCCTGCTGCAGCCTTCTTCTTAAACAGGTTATGTATAACAGTCAGTCAAATAAGCTCAAAACAGCTTCTCAAAACCTCGAAGAAACAGCAGTCTTCTCAAATCTGACAGTCACTGTTGAAGCTTAAACCTGTTATTGTTGAAGCTTAAACAGCAAGATGGAACTTCAAACAGTAAACTGTTTTAAAATTAACAAGGCTGCTGTTTAGTAAAGTTAACCAAGAAAATTCAACTACTTTGACTGCCTAAACAGATATTGATCAACTCAATTAAGCTGCTGTTTAGTAACCTGTTGTCAAAACTGTTGCTGTAAAGCTGTTGCTCTGTGCAAGCTTAACAGTCTTTAAATACTGTCAAAACAGCTTTGGAAGAATCTGTTCAAATGACACTTTGACTGCCTGCGTAAACCTATGAAATCTGAACATTTGTGTGTGATGACAACAATGTATATTTGAACTGCTGTTGCTGTTGCTTCCCACCAGCTTGGTAATGCAGATCTGCTGCTTCTGATCCAGTCCACAGTGTGAAGTAACAGATTTTGCGATTAAGAGGAAATCAAACAGTTATTCAAACAAAGCCAAATTTCACACCTAGACTGCTGTTCTAGTTCACAAAACACAGCCAAATCTCACACCTAGGCTGCTGTTCTAGTCCACAAAACACAGCCAAATCTCACACCTAGGCTGTGAAATCTCAAACACAAACACAAATGCAGCTACTTACTCACAAACTACCGAACTGCTGCGAACTGAATAAGCTGCTGTTAACAAAAATGAATCTGTCAAGATCATATCTAAAAATGAATACTAGTGAAGCTGTTAACAAACCTTGTTGTTTACTACTTTCCAAACAGTCAAACAAAGTGAAGATGCTGTTTGAAGACCTTGCAATGCTGTGGAGCTGTTTAGCTAGAAGTCATGACAATGCTAGTTGCTGCATAAACCTGTGAGATGTGAGTTCCTCCTCGTGGACAGCAATGAAAATACTCAACAATTATGATAACCAATTGTGAATTTGCTGCTGTTTCAAACCAGAAACAGTCCCAAAGGCTGTTTTAGTCTTGCACACTGCAGTTGATGTCTGATTGTTGCTGTCAAAACAGTAACCAGCTACTGTTGTTTTCTTTACTGTCAAAACTCAAAACTCAAGAACAGATGCTGTCAAAATAGTTACTGTCAAGAAAGTCTGCAAACTGCTCACTTGCTGCCAGCTTTCACAGATTGTCAACTGTTATACTGTTGTTGAAGCTACTAAACCAAAACCAAATGCTTCAAAACTGTTATCTTAATAACACTTGAGCTGCTGTTTTGAAAACCGCGTAATGCTTTGGAGCTGCTGTTTTCCTTTCCAAACACAATTGTTAAACTTGCAATCTATGGTCTCAGGTTGAAATTCCAAACCTGTTGTTGCTTACACAGTCACCTGTTACTGATGTTACAGATAGAAAATTCTTTCTTCTTTCCAAACACAATCACAGCTTCTGTTTCAGCACTGTTTTAAAACTATATGCTGTCAAAACTGTTTTAGTTGCTGTTTTCTTTCTAAACACAACCACCACAACAAAACCTATCAATATTTCCCGAACTAATTTGATTCAAAACTATCAATCTTCAAATCCTGCTGCTGTCTTAAAACTGAACACCAGCTGTAAATTGATGTACTTAGAACAGTAGCAAATGTCAACAGCAACCACGCGAACACAAAACAGAATGATACAACTGTGATTTACTTAGAATCAGATCAACAATGACCAAGTTCAAATTAAACAATTAAAATTGAAGCACATACTAAATCAAGATCAACAGCCACGTGATTGAAATCACAAAATGTATGCAAATGACTGTGAAGCAGCTTTTTAGAACGATTAAGACCAAATTAACCAAATCCGGACAAGTTATGATTTAGGTTGAATGACTAGAAGTCCGATTAGAAGGATTGAGCGGTTTAGTAAACCGGACAGAAAATGAACCAAAAAATCTTTAAGCACAAAACCGGTCACAAATCCGATCAAGGGTTGATCGGTTTACAAGAATACCGGATAATGAGATGGAAAGCTTACCTGCTAAACGAATCAGATCCTTAATCCGATCAAGTGTTGACCGGTGTAGATGAATACCGGTTGAAATATGTTCGGTGAAGGATGTACCGCTCAACAAATAAACCTTACCGGAGAACAATCCGATCAAGAGATGATCGGTTTATATGAACACCGGACAAGGAGTCTCCGGTTTACCTTGAATCCGATCAAGTGACACACGGTTTACCTTGATTGATTTAGTTGAATCTGATTTGAGAGCAAAGCGATGAAGAAAGCTTAGCCGGATTCTTTATCCGCTCAAGAATATGATGGACCAAAAAAAATGATCTGTTGGGCCTTAAAATGAATTTTGGACCTTTGACATTTTAGACGGATTAACAAATAGAATGAGAAACTCAAAATACAAAATAGATCAAAAACAATCAAAAACACAAAAAAAATTTAACAAAAAATGGATCAAAAACACTGAATTTAAAAAAAATTCAAGAACACGAAAAAAATTCAGAACACAAAATCCGATTAAATCTTGATAAAAGTTGATCAAATCACAAAAATTTGTGAATAACAAAGATTCAAAACATGATTCCGAGCATTTTGATCATGTTTTTAACACCAAAACACAAGATTTTATTAAAAAATCGGATCAAACAGAAAGAAAATGTCAAGAACACGAAGAACAAAAAAAATTCAGAAATTAAAAAAAAAACTTATCTTTTCGATTTCTTCTCTGATTTCTTGCATCCTGCTCTGATACCAATTGTGTGTCCAATTTTACTGACCAATCTTCATATCTTCATAACAATCATGGCAGATTTGGATTTATCATGTAAGAACACAATATGAGAATTGAGAGGAAAAGTCAAACTTGTAAGCTCTGGTCAAACCTCTATTATGAATGTATATTACAATTAGCTCCTCACCTTACTAATTACAAAGATTAAACCATATTTATATGGTCAAACTAACAAAGACAAGGTCAAAGTCAAACCTATAAGAAAAGTCAAACACGCTGACTTTTTACAATTAGACTATTTATAAACTTTCAAGACGAATACAATTAATACTGATTTCTCAGTCCTAACATCCCATGATACACCTCTCCTTGATATGCCACCCTTATCCCATGGTACATCTCTCCTTGATATGCCACCCTTATTTTCTCATCAAATCATTTTATAAATATTTCCAATTAGAACAAACCGCAGTTATAAATGTCCTAACAGAATATTATTAGTTCGAAATCATCTTTATTAAATCCTCATTCTTTCTCATCATAAAAGAATATTATAATGATGATTTGTTTGAACAATACTTTAGTCAAGGCACAAATCCGATCAACATAGATTTGGCCGAACTTCATCTCTGGTCAAGTCTTGGCCGGAGTAATAATCCGGACAACACTTCAACTTTTGTTCGATTTAATAATCTGGACAACACATTCCCATGTCCGATTTATATATACCACTTCTCTAACATATTTTAAATTTAATCCTCAATCGGATTACTTTAGTCCGCTTAAAACCATGAACGGTTTATGACTTAAACCGAACAATACACCAATCGGTTTATATTAAACCCATCGATCTTTGATTGTATTCCTACTTCTCCGTTTAAAATACTTATCCGATTTTCAAAGATTGAATTTCATCAATATATTAATCTAATCAATACTATGATCGATTTCTTCTAAATCGGATGGTACTATATCCGATTTATACCAAATCCGGACAAACACTTGTTCGATTTAAGCTATGTCCGAGTGATAGGTTTATAACACAAATCAGTATTCAAATCAAAGAATCAATTGTCAAGATAAAATAAGATGAATGATATTACTCACCTTTGCACTTTCTTTTTGAAAACCAACGTTAGAAATTCAATCAATATGTATCCGGTCAATACTTCCTCAAATTCCTCTCAAGGTTCTCAAAATGGCAAGAATAGAGATTGGAGGCCTCACCCTCCTTATAGACTTTCCTTCTTTGGAATGTCGGCTTAAACAGCCTCCATGTGCATACATATATACATATACCTTCTCATGCATGCATTCCCCCACCATTTTCATGCATATACATATATATCATGCATGCATTTTATGAATATTTAAACTCATGCATACTAATACATTTTGCCATATATATTTACCTTATGCATACACACTTATGCATAAAATTTCACATACTCGCATGATCAAATATATCAGTTTATCATGCTGTCACGTAAGCACGTAATAAATAATCACGTATTAATTACCTCAGTTGATAACCAAGACTCGGTTATCACATATAATTCGGGTAAACCATATAATCTATTAGTTCTCAATTCTTTGATGACTAATATTGAAAAAGGCAAAGCCTAGGCCAACTCTTGTTTAATACCCCACCAACTACTCAGTTATCTCTTAAAACATAATTATTTCATTAACACTTGGAGCACGTAACTCACAATATACCAGTTTCTCATTTGGAGATTTCTTATATTGAAAAAGAAGGATATATGTCCCCCCTTTAAATTTTCTTGATCACAACCGGGTCTTATAAATCTATGTAGTTCACGCTACTTTACCAATTTGAGCTTATTTTCAAGCATTCGTGCTTTATCTTTCTAAACTACACAAATTTCATGGAATATTTGTTATTCTGTCTTAACATTCATAGATATGCTTCTTTAAACTATCAATGATTGAATGGAAGTCTTGATGAGATCAACGTCAAAATGTCTCATATTCAAAGTGCATCTGTTGCACTGAATATATCTGTTATATTCATAGGCCAATCTTTGAATAAAAGATTGAAAATGGATTCATAAGTTGAATCTGGTTTTTCCAAACTCATGTTCAGAAATGGATTTATTCATTAAAGAATATATAAATGAATTTGAAAAGATTTTCTTATCATTTTATGAATTGACGGTATATACCCTGGAACATTCATTTGTTGGTATGATGTTTATGGTTCTCATTCACATCATAAGGGGGAGATGATATTAAATGAATAAAGAAGATAAAATGAATGCTGAAGTTAAGTGAAAGGGAGATTATTGCAAATTATTTCTGAATGTTGATTGCTGAAGATTATTACGAAGGGAAGATGTTTTTCAGATACAAAGAGGGATATTGAAAGAAAATCCTAGAAGAGCTATGTTAAAGTGAAGATAATTACAAAGGGGGAAATTACAAGTGTTTGAGGCTATGTCAAAATGATTCTTCACGGGAAGAAGAAAGAAGATGATATCAAATTTAGGGTGAGCTTGAAAATGTTTAAGGGAGATTGCAATTGTTTGTGAGAGACTATTAATGACTAGTGGAGATTGTGAAAGCAATGAAGTCAAGTATAGAGAAAGTTTGTTATCTAAAGAGGGAGATATTTTCAAATGCTCTGAAAAATCAAATCTGTCAAAGTCAAAGCTTCTGAAAGTGTTTGAGCTAAGCTATTATGAAGATAATTTGTTTTGAAGTTTATTGTTGCTAAAGCTGAAGAT